CCGAGCCACCCTGGCGTCAGAAGAAAGAAAACTTTAAAAGTAGGAATCAACATTAAAAAGAGAGAGCAAGAGCAGGTCTTTTAGTGAAGGACCAAAAGGGTTGTTTCCTATAAGGCCCATAAAACATCCCTGTATCAAATTAGACCTTAAAAGTTCACACTCTAATGACCTTGGCACCTTAAAAAGGTTATGCTAGTTTAAACTTAGAAGGCAGGAAAAAACTTTTTAATTTGCAATGAAAAAATGTTTTAAGTTCTGACACTTAAAAGGTATATGCCAAGTATCTGAAAATTCATGTAGATTAATAAGCATCTCTTTCTACTATGATATTAGATAAATGTGTTGCAGTAATACAGAGATCTACCCCATTACACTGTTCACATGCACACACACGTGCATGAGCACACACACACAGATATACACACCCTGTATCCAAAGAAGGTATAACATACCATTTAGGGAAGTCAAACAGGTCCTCATGGAGGAGGTGATATTAGAGTCAGAGTTCAAAGAAGAAACAGAAGTTTCTAGATCTCAAAACAGGATGGGAAGGAGAGCACTCTATGAAAAACCTAAGTTCAGACCTTGGTGATGGATTCACTATTTCAAATATTTTACTGAGGTCTACTACAGTACCAAGCCCTGGGATGCAAAAATGACTACATAACAGCCTGTGCCCTCAAAGAGTGAAAATCTAGTGGGCAAAAGACATAAAAACATAATTATAACACCTAGCAGTATTACAGAACAGTAACTGAGATGTATAGGGTATTAAGGAAATACAGGCCTGGCACCCAACAGAACTTAGGGGCAATTAAGAAAGGTTTCCTGGGGCGCCTGGGTGGCTCAGTTGTTAAGCATCTGCCTTCGGCTCAGGTCATGATCCCAGGGCCCTGGTATCGAGCCCCACATCAGGCTCCCTGCTCTGTGGGGAGTCTGCTTCTCCCTCTCCCACTTCCCCTGCTTGTGTTCCCTCTCTCACTGTGTCTCTCTCTGTCAAATAAATAAATAAAATCTTAGATAAAAAAAAAAAAAAGAAAGGTTTCCTGAAGAAAATAAAATCTAGGGGCGCCTGGGTGGTTCAGTCATTAAGCGGCTGCCTTCAGCTCAGGTCATAATCCCAAGGTCCTGGGATCAAGCCCCACCCACATGGGGCTCCCTGCTCGGCAGGGAGCCTGCTTCTCCCTCTCCCACTCCCCCTGCTTGTGTTCCTGCTCTCGCTGTCTCTCTCAAATAAATAACATCTTTAAAAAAAAAAAAAAAAGTAAAATCTAGTTTAAATCTTAAAGGAAGAGAAGGTGTAAGGTTGGAGAACAGGGTACATGGAAGGGCATGAACAAAAGGTCAAGGACCCTCAGGGACTGATTAAAAGGAGTTTGCGGGCGCCTGGGTGGCTCAGTTGGTTGAGCGACTGCCTTCAGCTCAGGTCATGATCCCAGGGTCCTGGGATCGAGTCCCGCATCGGGCTCCCTGCTCTGCGGGGAGCTTGCTTCTCCCTCTCCCACTCCCCCTGCTTGTGTTCCCTCTCTCGCTGTCTCTCTCTCTGTCAAATAAATAAATAAAATCTTTAAAAAAAAAAAAAAGGTGTGTTTTGTTTTGTTTTTTTTAAGTTGATTTTCGTTTTTTGTTTGTTTGGGTATTTTTTTTTTGTAAAAAACTATTTTATATATAAATCTAAATATATATCTATTTAAAAAAAAAAAAAGGAGTTTGCAATTTAACACACAAACAAGGAGCTACAGAGGTTTTTAAACAAGAGGCTGGGGGCGCCTGGCAGGCTCAGTCAGTGCAGTATGCGACTCTTGATCTCGGGTTGTGAGTTCAAGCTCCACGTTGGGTGCTGAGATTACTTAAAAAAAAAAAAATCTTTTAAAAAATTTAGAAAAAATAAACAAGAGGGTGACTTGATATTTGTCTTTTAGTAAGATAATTAAGGCAACAATGTGGAGGATGAGAGATTGGCAAGGACAATTAGCACACACAAAGATAAGGGCCTGAAATTAGGCCCAATCGGCATGTGATCATTAAATGAACAAATGATTTCACAAATTAGAGATAAGGGAGATAAATTTACAAGCATTAGCTGAGGCATCTAGGATATTCAGGTGGCTATATCCAGAAGGCATCTGGAAATATAGATCCAGAGTTTTCTAACTCAGCTGACTAAGGTTATGGGTGTGCCATTAAGCTAAGTAACTACAGGTGGAAAAAGGTGTAGATAAAATCAGTATGATGTGCCTGTGGGTCAGCGAAGTGACGATGAAAAAGCAGGCAGGTGAACGTACAAGTCTGGACTAGAGACAAAGAACTGGATTCATCAGTGGCAGCAGCTACGGCCAAGGCACAGGAAGGAAATCTCCCGGGGAGAGACCATGTATCAAGAAATAACTTAGGAAGTAATAAAGCTAACATTTCCCTAGTACTTACTATGGCTCCATTCAATCCTCACAACAATCTATGCAGTAGATACTATTATCCCATATTACAGGTTAAGTAATTTTCCCAATATTACAAGACACTTAAAGAACAGTGAAAAAGCAAGGCTTAGGAGAGATTGGAGGAGAACTGGGGGCAAGCAATGTTAGAAATCCAGTTAAAAGATTCAAGAAGTTATCTGATCAATATCAGAGAAAATTCAAGAAAGACAAAAAAAAGAAGAAAATAAAGGAGGGTGAGACCTAGAATATTTCACAATTTGGGGACATTAATAGTTACAATTTACTTTACTTGTACAATTTGTTTCAGGAAGGACAAAGAAATATACTGGATTAGGTTGCAAAATGAGTTGAGGAAGTAAAAACAGTGATCATAAGACTAGTCTCTCAAAAGAGTCCAGCAATAAAGGAAGCAGGAACTAATGTTTACTAAGCCATAACATTTACAGTGCTGGGCAGCAGGGCAGGTGCACCACATACCTCATCTAACATTTGCATTTTAAAAGATGCAAAAGATTTGGAAACACTCTAAAACCTGTTCAAAGTCACACAGCCAGTAAGTGGCAATGGAAACATTTACACTCAAGGTGACATAAAGCTGACCAGAGACCTATTTTAAAATACAACATACAGACTGGAAAATTATTTAAGATTCCAATCTGTGCATTGGTTTTGTAATGTTCGGTGTGATAGTATCTAATTTGCCTTAAGAAAGCAACACAAGGGGCACCTGGGTGGCTTGGTCCAGTAAGCATCTGCCTTCAGCTCCGGTCATGATCCTGGGGTCCTGGGATCTAGCCCAGCATCGGGCTCCCTGCTCAGCGGGGAGCCTGCTTTTCCCTCTCTGCCTCTCTCGCTCTTTCAAATAAATAAAATCTTTATTTTTTTTAAGATTTTATTTATTTGACAGAGAGAGCGAGAGCGAGAGTGCACAAGCAGGGGGAGTGGCAGGCAGAGGGAGAAGCAGGCTCCCCGCTGAGCAAGGAGCCCGATGTGGAACTCGATCCCAGGACCCCGGGATCATGACCCGAGCCGAAGGCAGATGCGTTTAACCGACTGAGCCACCCAGGCATCCCTAAATAAAAAAAAGAAAGCAACACAAAATTGACTTGAGAACAAATGAACCGTGTTGGAAAGAATGTCAACTTTAGCCTACCCACAGTGTACCTATTAAAAAAGCTTTCAGGGGCGCCTGGGTGGCTCAGTTGGTTAAGCAATTGCCTTCGGCTCAGGTCACCATCCTGAAGTCCCAGGATCAAGTCCCGCAGCAGGCTCCCTGCTCAGCAGGGAGTCTGCTTCTCCCTCTGACCCCCTCCCCTTGTGCTCTCTCTCAAATAAAAATAGATAGGTAGATAAACAAACAAGCAAGCAAGCTTTCAGGGATGCCTGGGTGGCTCAGTGAGTTAAGCGTCTGCCTTGGGCTCAGGTCAGGATCCCAGGGTCCTAGGATCGAGTTCCACATCGGGCTCCTTGCTCAGCGGGGAGCCTGCTTCTCCCTCTGCCTGCCACTCCCCCTGCTTTGTGCTCTCTCTCTCTCTCACTCTGACAAATTAAAAAAAGCTTAAAAAAAAAAAAAGCTTTCAAAAGAACCTATAAATCTATAAAACAAATAGAGTAACCAACTTATTCTCAGTGACCAACTTTGCTATGTCACTCTCACCTTCAGTGAAGGAAAAGAGAAAAATTGCAGATGAATTTACAATTCAAAAGATAAAGTTTCTCCCCTTCCCTTCCAAGCAAAGACTTAACCAAGTACAACCCTACACTTATATATCATTATATCATTAAGTCATTAAGTCAATTAGCTAAACTAAAGAACCCAAAATTTCATTCACATCTGTATGGTCAATATAATTATTTACCCTATGCGATAAATTTCAAAAAAAAAAAGATGTCATTAACTCGCTTTTGTTAAAAACTTTTTTCCATTTCCTTCCCCAAAGGAACAAGCACTCTTTACTAGTTAACATTTTCCATTCAAACAAGTTCCTTCCTCTGTTCGCCAACTCATTCATTCTTTCATTGTGCCAGGTGCTAGGCCAGACTCTGGTAATTAAGACATAAATTAAGATGCACTAGCCCAGCCTTCATGAAATGTACATGCTAGCAGAAGAAACAATTAAAGCATCTAAGTGACATTACACTGCTGCTAAGGAAAACCAAGTACTAGGAGGGCTTCACAGAGACAGGTTGGATTTCCTACAGTGATATTTGTGTTGGATTTGGGTAAAGGAGAGAATGGTACATTACAGGTGGAGGAAACACCTAAAGACCATGAGATAGTAAAGAGGCTTTCTTAGAACAAAAATAAAACCAATGTGGCTTGAGCCTAGAGAGCCAGGAGGAAAGTGGCCCAAAATGAAATGGAGAAGAGGGGCAGCAGTATTTTGGTCTTTATTCGAGGAGAATGTGAAATGTTTTGAGAGTTCTAAGCATGTGAGGCATTGAGACCCGTGCACTTTTAAATGATTACTCTTGAATATATCAGAGCTCCTCCCAAAAGCCATTCTCATGCCTAGACAACACACAAACTTCCCTAACAAGTCATTCATGGAGATTACTCACATAAAGGGGGACAAAAAACCGCTTCAAGTTGAATTCTATGTCAAAGGAAGATACTCTGAAAAAAAAGAGTAGTTTAAACGATGGCAGTGACTTAGAAAGTGACCTGTGAACTTCATCTACATATAAATACGAAAAATAGCGTTTACAGTTGTTTCTCGATTACAAATAACTTCCAAATACACGTATCAGAGAAACTGAATGGCTATTAACATTTAACAGTGACAGAAAATTACACTTTAATATTTAAAAATAAAATAATGAGCCTGATTAAAGGCTTTGGTGCCCAGACGCTTTCTATATCTTGAGGTGCCATCTATCCCTTCACACTTTTTTCCTAATCAATTCCAGACTTCCTGAGCCCATTTTTGGTTTCGCTTTTTAAAGAATAAAATGTCTTCTGATTCATAACTTTCTTTACTACCAGCTTGAGAGATGCCATAGGACCTGGGGGGCACGTAACAAACCTCCAAGGTTTAAAGGGCTGCCAGCCATGCGGGCGCCCCACGGTAACTTTCCCGCCCTCCCCATCCCCCAAACTCCCCAGGACTCGCGGAGCCCCCCTCCTCCCGCGGCTCCCGGCCGCCTCCTCCGCCCTTTGGCCCAGGGCAAGGCCAGGCCCGCCGGGCCGGAGATGCAGCCGCCACTTCTTTCCCCTTCCTCTCCGGCTGAGGCGGGTGGACCCAGGCGGGAAGTGAGCGGATCCGGGAGCATGAGCATTACCTGGGGCCGGAGCCTGACAGCGCGGACCTAGTCAAGAAAGGCAAAGCCGGGTAGCCCCCACGGCGCGGCTGGTAAAAAGGTAGGCGTCGGGGAGCTCTCCAGGTGCCCAAAGCCAACAGCGCAGCCAGCCCCGCAGCCAGCGAAGGTAAAGCTCCCCACTCCCCGGCCTCTCCGCCCCCAGCCTCGCAGCCCGCTACGCAGCGTCACGCGCACGGCCCGCGCCGGCTCGGGATTTCATTGGCGGTCCCTGTCGCCACCAGGCTCCGCCCACCGCCCATGGCCGCCCGCCCGTTCCCGGGCTCGCGGGTACCCAGGACCTGACGCCTACCTGGCCCCGGTGCCCAGAGCCGGGGGCTACGCGCGGGAGGGTAGTGACACCGTTTTGCGCCAGCGATCCAAGGTGCGGCAGAGAGGAGCCTGAGATAACTTCCTACAAGTCCGAAACGGCACCCGGCGTGATAGCTCCGGACCGGCGAGTCTGGAGCCTCTTCCAGAGACTCTCAGAAGCCGCCTCTAGAACCGTGGATCTTTGAAGTTGGAACTGACCCTCTAGGAACAAAATTGAAGCACTAGCCAGCAGCGTTCATCATGGGTTGCTTTAATACTTTGTAAACTCTACTTGGCTGTGTCCTTCAGCACAGGCGAACTAGATAAGGAACCAGTGAAATGATGGGGCAATTAAGGAATTAAAAAGGAGACTTCGTAATCAAAGGAAAAATAATGATGCAAAGAGATTTAGGATGTAGATTAGTTGCAACAGTTAATCCGATTTTGCGAAGGCAAAGATGTAGGTGAATTTAAAGTAAAGGTAGGTGAAAAGGGAATGATGAGAGCAGCAGAGACTGAAGGATCACACTCAGAGCCTGCAAACCAATGCGAGCTAACGTAGCCTGCCTAATGACTGCGACCCTACTCCAAACAAGCTGAGAGGGCCACCCAACACCCTGTCAAGCTACCCTGAACAAATGGATCACCTTTGCTTGAACTGACTACTCTGTGCACCTTTAAACAAAGAGGATTTGTACAAGTTACCCTTGCAGCACTGTTCACCCCAAAGCGGAACTGGCCTCAACAGTCAGTCAGATTCAGAACTGGCAATCATTGGCGGACTTTACAGTTTGCCTCATGTACCATTGGGACTCCTGCCTGCCAACTAGATGGCAAAAGGAGCTGGTAGATCCCGTGGCCTCTGTGCTTCACCTCTTCCCTCCCACCAGTTAAAGAGCAGTAGGAACAGAGGGATTCATACCTGATCGGACTGCTGGCCACTTCATATATACGCCTATAACTGTTGTCGTTTCCTTTATTTATTTATTTTTTATCTTTTTAAAGATTTTATTTATTTTTTTGACACACAGAGAGAAAGTACAAGTAGGCAGAGAGGCAGGCTCTCCACTGAGCAGGGAGCCGGACATGGGGCTCGATCCCAGGACCCAGGGATCATGACCTGAGCCGAAGGCAGCCGCTTAACCGACTGAGCCACCCAGGCGCCCCTCGTTTATTTATTTTTTAAAAATGCCTTTTGGGCGCCTGGGTGGCTCAGTCGGTTAAGCGACTGCCTTCGGCTCAGGTCATGATCCTGGAGTCCCGGGATCGAGTCCCGCATCGGGCTCCCTGCTCGGCAGGGAGTCTGCTTCTCCCTCTGACCCTCCTCCCTCTCATACTCTCTGTATCTCATTCTCTCTGTCTCAAATAAATAAATAAAATCTTTAAAAAAAAAAAATAAATAAATAAATAAATAAAAATGCCTTTTTTTTAATTCCAGCATAGTTAACATACAGTGTTATATTAGTTTCAGGTGTACAATATAGTGATTCAACAATTTTATACATTGCTCATCATAATAAATGTACTCTTAATCCCCTTCACGTATTTAACCCATCCCCCCACCCACCACCCCTCTGATAACCATCAGTTTGTTCTCTAGAGATAAAAAGAGTAAAAATACTGTGTTCTGTTCTTGATGCTAGGAATACAACAGTGAATAACACAGAAGTCCCTGTACTTAGAAGTGTATGTTTCCAGTGGAGAAGATAAATAGTAGGACAAGTAAATAAGATAATTGCAGGTAGTGAAGAGAACAAAACAGAGTAGTCAGGGAAGGACTTCTTGAGGAAATGATCTGAGCTAAGACTTAAGGAAGGTGAAGGAGCAGGGCACCTGGGCAGCTCAGTCGATTAAGCTTCTGCCTTCAGCTCAGGTCATGCCAGGGTCCTGGGATCGAGCCCCACCAGCTAGCTGCTCAGCGGAGAGCCTGCTTCTCCCTCTCCCTCTGCCTGCCACTCCCCCTGTTTGTTCTCTCTCTCTCTCTCATTCTGTCAAATAAATAAAATATTTTAAAAATAAATAAATAAAATCTTAAAAAAAAAAAAAGGAGATGAAGGAGCCAGCTGTGGGGATGCCAACCATGGGGAAGTAGAGAATTCTAGACAGAGGACAATGGGTATGAAGGTGGGGATGCTGATGTAGTTTTGCTTATGTGAGGAATAGGCCAGGAGGCCTGAAGAACATTTGTGGATGGTATGAGACTGAAGTTGGAGAGTGAAGTAGGAGCATAACCATGCTGTTTGGACTTTTTATTGTTAAGCTTTATCTTGTTTTTTAATTTTTTTTTTTTAAGATTTTATTTATTTATCTGACAGAGAGAGACACAGCGAGAGAGGGAACACAAGCAGGGGGAGTGGGAGAGGGAGAAGCAGGCTTCCCCGCAGAGCAGGGATCCCGATGCGGGGCTCAATCCCAGGACCCTGGGATCATGACCTGAGCCGAAGGCAGACGCTTAACGACTGAGCCACCCAGGCGCCCCTCTTGTTTTTTAATTTTTATTTATTTCTTTTAGAGAGAGAGAGCACACGTGTGTGGAGGGGGTGGCAGGGCAGAGGGAGAGGGAGAGAGAGAATCTTAAGCAGGCTCCATGCCCAGCGCAGAGCCCAACATGGGGCTTAATTTCATGACCCAGAGATCATGACCTGAGCCAAAATCAAGAGTCAGATGCTTAACTGACTGAGCCATCCAGGTGCCCCATCTTGTTGTTTTGTTTTGTTTTGTTTTAAGATTTATTAGTTTATTTTAGAGAGAGGGAGAGAGAGATAGAGAGCACGAGCAGGGGAGGGGCAGAGGGAAAGGGAAAGAATCTCAAGCAGACTCCCTCTGAGCATGGAACCCGACTTGGGGCTCAATCTCACAACCCTGAGATCATAACCTGAGCCAAAACCAAGAGTCAGACGCTCAACCTACTAAACCACCTGGGCACTGCCCCCCCATCTTGTTTTTTAAATCAACCTATCTTGTAGAGAATGACTTGGAAGGGGGCAGAAGTGGAACAGGGAAAAGCCAGAGAATGACAGGAAGCTATTGCACAAATCCATGGGATAGATGATGGTGATCTGGATTAGGGTAGTTGCTATGGAAATAGAAGTGGAAAAATTTCAAGGTATTTTCCTGAGGTGCAGGTATAAAGAAATACAGTAAACAAGGTGACTCCCAGGTTGTTTTCTTAAGCAAGTAGAAAGATGGCAATGCCATTTAGTTCAAGGGGGAAGACCATTTCATTTGATTGGGAGGACCCTGAAAGCCTATGCCCAAACTCCAATCCTCTTCCACCACTGGCCTGATATTCTCACATCACTCAATCCTTGATACTAAAGCTTGGTTAAATGTGAATGTTGCTTTCATATTCCAAATAACATGTGTACAGAACTTGTTCTAGTTGCTAAGGATATAAAGATGAATGAGAACAACTATCTATTAGGGAGATAAATAGTAACTAAGCAATTTCAAAACAATGGGACAAGTGTTGAGGCACCTGAGTGGCTTAGTCAGTTAAAGCCAATGGCTCTTGGTTTCAGCTCAGGTCATGGTCTCGGGGTCCTGGGATCCAGCCCCACATTGGGCTCTACACTCAGCACAGGGTCGGCTTGTCCCTCTCCCCACCCCACCCCACCCCATCCTTCCCCCGACCTGTGATCTCTCTCAAATGAATAAATAAAAAAAGGACAACAGGCCAAGTGTTATAATAAAAAGAAGTAATAAAAAGGCCTACCTAACAGGGCCATTGTGAGGATTAAATGAGTTGTTAATACCCAAGAAGCTCCAAGCACAGATACTGGCATATAGAAGTGCTCAATAAATATTAACAGTTATTTTACACTTTCTACCCTGAGATTTGTCATTATTGTTGATGTTGGTATCTTCTGGATACAGTGGGAGCCGTTGGAATGATTATCACAGCCTGCAGCTCTAGGAAAGGGAAGGCTGAATGGAGGGCCGACTCCAGCTTTCAAAACCAGTAGGGGGAGAAGTTTAGTTGGCAGGCAAGGGAAGAGGGACATCCCAACCAAAGGAAAAAAACAAAGTCAAAGGCCAACAGACAAGAGGGAGCCAGAACCATCTAGGAAAAAGGAAGGCAGTTTGAGTGTTGTTGAATGAGAAGCGGCAGGTGATAAAGTTGGTGTTAGGGCTTAAGAAGTTTGTAGGTCATACTGGGTCAATCTGGGGCGCCTGGGTGGCTCAGTTGGTTAAGCGACTGCCTTCGGCTCAGGTCATGATCCTGGAGACCTGGGATCGAGTCCCGCATCCGGCTCCCTGCTCGGCAGGGAGTCTGCTTCTCCCTCTGACCCTCCCCCTTCTCATGTTCTCTCTCTCTTAAATAAATAAAAATCTTAAAAAAAAAAACAAAAAAACATACTGGGACAATCTGACTTAGACTCCCACAGACAGTGGGGAGCCAGTGCAGGATCTTCCGTAGGGAAGAGACACTATTTAGGAGACTGAACTCAAGGGAAATGCAACTGGATGTGAAGAGCTCAATTAGAAGGGCATTACAGTAACATAGGATGTATCTAGGATATCTAGCTTAGCAAACTGAATTACTGTTTTTTTAATTTTTTTTTTAAAGATTTTATTTATTTGTCAGAGAGAAAGAGAGTGAGAGAGAGAGGAGGAGTGGCAGGCAAAGGGAGAAGCAGGCTCCCTGCTGAACAAGGAGCCGGATGTGGGACTCCATCACAGGACCCTGGCATCATGACCTGAGCCCAAGGCAGACGCTTAACCAACTGAGCCACTCTGGTGCCCCTGAATGGCTAAGTTAATGAGTTAGCCAACTTAATGCTAACTGAGGTAAGAAAATATATCCTAGACAAAGAGCAAGAATAGCTTTACTTGCCATATCATCTGAA